TTCTTATACACAGGACACGGAAATAGGGGAGCCTCATCCAAGTCATAACGGTGGGTCTGAGTAAAATTCCGGGTAGGATAACTCTTCCCGTGTCCTAACCCAAACACCTCTCCTAACATCAACTTAAACCGTAGCCTTACGTGTATCCCTAGCCCTACCCTACTTCTCATATCAACTCCTAGCTTAGCCCCAACTTGTCTTAGCCCTGAATTGAAGCCTAATCATAACTTCTACTCAATTTTCTCTGGAATTTAGCGCGAAGACATCTGTATTACTGCGGTTTCTCTGCTTATATCATGTTTAGGACGCCATTTGAATCATCTGTTAGATGATCGGAGAAGGCCCACTTCCACACCTGCACAGGCCAAAGCCACATGTGGGATTTAGATTTTTGGTAAGATATAAAAAAGAAAAGTCCTCCACTCGGTAATACACATAGTTATCTGCACAATTTGACGAAACACGAAATTCCTCGTGTCCTAACTCTCATCCTATTATTACCCCTAACCTAACTGTTAACTTTAACCCCAAACTGCCTTCTAGGTTTGACTCTGACACTAGCCTTAAGCCTAGCCTTGATAGTAATCTCACCCTAATCTTTGCACCAAAAATGATCTCCATATCCTTTGTAATAATCTTCTTATAAATTAAAGCCAGATCCCCAAGAAGGGGGGCGTTCCTACTGCTTGTCTGGCCGTTTTAGATTTATTTCCACGTTTTTTAAACTGGCTCGGGTAGCAGTGAGTAGAAGAATGCTTTTATATCATTCCATGACGAATTATCACCTGTATCAGACCGCGAAACCAAGCAGACACAGCAATTTACCTCTTGATTGCATTTTTGGACTTTCAGGAAAGACAGAAAGTGACAATCGCGGGGCACAGAGCACAGAAGATTCGCAGAACTCCAGTGAGCTGGGAACACATCCTCTCGTCGAATTTGCCTGATTGTGATCCCCCAACCTCAACCAAGGTGACTGGAGACGCTCTTTCCACTCCACCTCCGGTCCGAAGTTTAAACTCGAAAATGAACTGAAACTCCTTCGTAATCCTTCTTTTATCTACACGCACACCACCCCACCCCTACTCCCATGCCGCCTCGCCAGTGGCAACTGCATAGTTCTTGTACACTCCACTTTGACAGATTTTCTAAAGGGGGAATCTGTATGCTTGTCTGTGCATTTTCTGCGCCCGATTCCATGTAAATATATAAATGCCTACGTTCGATTTCTTTCCCTGGGTTCACTTCTCACTAGTGGACAGTCAAGAGGTTGAATGCGGAACCTAAAGACTCGGGTATGAACTATTAGAATTTGGCAGATCACACAGGGAATATCGTGGACAGTAAAATAAAACTGTCGTTCCAGTGAATTCTGTTGAGTTTGAATAACAAAGTCTCGCGTTGGGCCGTGGTATACGCTGGCTATAACTTGCAAATGTGGGTGACAATCACTGGCTAGCACTAGTGAGGTGAATCCCGATGGAGTGTACTTCTTCGTCAGCCTGCAATGTTGGTGCAAATGAAAAATTAGTTTGCTGAAATAATTTTTTTAAATAGAGAAGTAGAAGGCGTTGCGATCACCGGAATCATAATTTTTTTAAATGACGCAACGTTCCATCGCCATATATAATATATTCAGCGATGTTCGATTTCAGGGCATTAAAGTAAAGCGTCACGCAACGGTTGCCTGACTCGGGTTATGTCCTGGAGTGTGGGAGTGCCTCTAGTTAGGGAATCGACGGGTATCGACAGCAAGACAGGGTAATTACTAGAACTCTTTACTTTCAGATAAAAATACTTGCTCGTGCTCACTTTATACTACCACGGATGTAAAATACATAAGATACTTTTTTGAATAACGATCATGAACCTCAGAAGAAGAAGATGCGATCACTGGAACAAGAGTTTCATTTGCCTAACTTTTCGGATTCCCTCGAAACTGGCCTGGACATGACTGGCTGATGATGAATAACAGGCCAGAAATGTCCATTTCGCTCTCCCCCTTAGTTGTCGCTTTCACTTCATACATATGTATGTATATGATAGAGTAGCGCTCACCGATTAAGTTATGGAAAAGGTTTTTCCCGTTGTGCCTAATAATGTATGCAGATAATGCAAAACCGGCAAGGACAAAGGGATAGGAGTGGCCATTTCGTGCATATTAGACGTCATCAGTCAGTCAAATCCAATCCCTACTGTGAGCA